CGGTAGACCGGGGGCGGCCCAGGCAGCTGCTGGCCTGTCCGACCCTCCGCGCTGGGGCCGGTTGGGGTCCCCGCTGTTGGAGGAACGGAGGAATCAAGCTCCTCTTCATGGTCGAGGAGACCGGAATACCAGCTGTGGTTTCTGTTCCCTTGTAAGAGTTGCCGTAAAAGGCGTGTCAGAGTTCTCCAGGAGGAAGTCAGAATAGTCAAGGAAGTTGTTAACAGTTTTCACCTTTGATTCCCAATCTTTTATTTTAAAGTTGCCCCAAAACAATAGTTACTTGTACTGCCTCCATTCTCTTCTGTCCTGAGGGGGAGAGGAAGGCACGCAGTTGTACTTTTTTAAAGCTCCAGTAATTTATGTTTTGGTTATTCGTACATTTCTTTAGAGTTGTATGGAATTTGAGAAATACAAATATTGGAAAAATCTGATTTGGAGACTTAGTTAAACATTTCTAGTGATTACAAAAATATATGAAAAGGTTTACCTGACCCAAAAGCCCTGAACTATACCTACGAGAAAACTGTTTCCGTGTTGTTGGCTATTGTTTATGCAGCCATAAATTCTTATGTTTCAATTTTATTTGTAAATATGACCTTCGGTAAACAACATGTTAGCATTATGTGATAAGTAACCCAGCCGTGATAGTTAACACCGTGATTTAGTTCAGTTAACAACTGATGGACAAATTAAAACCACACATGGTCCATACTGGTTTAATGATTACTTTCAGCTAAACTTAATCATCCCTCAAAATTGCTAAATGATAGTAAATCTCCAGGTGGACTTCATTATTAGGGACCCAATTTTTGAAAAGAAATTAGAACCTTAGGTAATGTTCAAACCACAAAATATGACAACACAATAAAAAAATTAAATGTAAATTAAATATTTGACTGTATAAAAGGAATTTTATTTACATCCCCTGGCTGAGGATGAAGGAATAAGGTTGAGGATCTTCTAACAAGATGAGATCTCTTTAGACTCCAGTGTTTTTGTTTATCTTTGATTTTGTTTTCTTTCTCTTTTTTTGGTGGTGCTGGGGATCAATTCCATGACCTTGTGCATGCTAGGCCTCAATTTTGTCATTTATGGGAATTTGAAAAGACCACACTATTCCCCTGAACATGACAAATGATTTGGAAACACACTCCATAAACCAGTGTGGTGTTGCTTTTGTTTTGTGCTGTAAAGGCAAGATTCTCAAAACCTTTTCTGCTCTGCTTTACATGTATATAATCTCCAGGAGAAGGTTATCATAGCATTTCCTAAATTTACCTAGCCTGAGAGCCTTTTTTGTTATGGCCAACTGTTTAATATTTCTTAGAATATAATTACATAGAATACCAATTTGAAAATTGCTATTCTTGAGCTGTGTCTGCCTTCAACTGTGACATTCCATGCATTAAGACTTTTTCCCCCATCAGTTTAACCTTTTTGGAGCATGAAAATTGATAACTCAGTGACGTGACAAAAGAATCCTGTTTTCCTTGGTAAAATATTAAGAATGCCGTGTGTCTCTTATGGGTCTTAATGATTTAATTTATGGCAGAAGAGTATCTTTCCCAGTCTCTTGATGCTTTTCTAAACCATAATTAATTCATGTTTTCAATTTGACTTTATAGTTATTATTGATTTTATTCACTATGCCATTTTAAGTTTCCAGGAAGACTTGTTGATAGTATTACTTTTACTATGATCTAGATTTTGAGCCATAAATTCTTAAAACTACATGATAGAAGGTACCTGATATACTTAATATTTAATAGCTACATAATTTTAAGAGTTTGGATCATCAAAAAGAGATAAAGGTTAAAATAAATTCTGAAACATTTCAAACAAGATCTTAATGTTGAATGCAAGATCTGAGTGTTGAATATGATTTTAAATTATTTTGCTAAACTCTGTTAAGTCTCATTAGTATGCAACTCAAGTGACTATTTGGTCTGTTCTTTGTTACTTTGCTCAGGATAAATGCTATTAATGTACAGTTTGGGGATGCTGGGGGGGGTGGGAACAGAATATTTCATAGATGAGCTTTAAATCAAACAAATTCCCTCCCTCCCTGAAATAAAACTATTAAGTGTGAAACTAGTATTTTTGTATTGTAACGCTATTAGTAACAGTTTTGTTTTGGGGGGTTTTTTGGTACTAGGGATCAAACTCAGGACCTTGGGCTTGCAAGGCAGGTGCAGTGCTACTGAGCTAAATCCCCAGCAATAAGTAACAGTTTTTATTGAGAAACTACTATCTAAGAAGAAATATTTTTATTCCCTTTAAACTAATTTCCTTTTTCTTTTCTTGTGTTTACCAGTACCTCTTTCTCCCAAAAACTACCCCCTATCATTGGATAGGTCAAAAATAGTATCAAAATTATTAATGAAAAAATTACATCTAACAATGTGCACCAATTTTGTGATACATTTCAGTGTAACTACCACCAAAATGAAGACTTGGAATGTACCACCAGTTGGGGCTGTATTTTGCTTTTATTCTCTTACAATTCTCCATCTCTATTTGTCTAAATTATACCTACATTTAAACTCCCAGTTTAAAGCTACCTTATCTATGGATCTTTTTCTTTTTATTATCTCATTTTGAATTAATATTCTTCTTGTTTTCCAATTTTCCTGTATTAAGTACCCTTCTCTGTGTGTTATGATGGCTAAACCAGTGACACATAGCAAGCATTTACTGACCAAATGATGGGAGCCGCAATGTTTTTAATGGACTTATGGAATATTTTGTTACTTCACAAATCCAGTGGTATTTCTTTTTAGGGAAAGACTGCATAAGGGTATGGATACTAGGAAATAATCATTGGAAGCCAGTATGTGAATATTTGTCCAAATGAGCAGTGCATATTTGTTTAATGTGTATTATATGCACTATTCATTGTCATTTTTTTTAAAGAATATTCAAATGCTGACTTATGGGGGTGTATTTCATCTCAGCAATGAGAAAAGTAACAAAGAAACTAGGTGTAATGGTGCATACCTATACTCCTAGCATGAGAGGCTGAGGCAAAAGGATTGCTGTGATTTCAAGGACAGCCTGGGCTACATAACTAAATTTTAAAATTAAAATTAAAAAAAATTATTAGTGCATTTTCCCAAACACACAAGTACAAGCTTGAAAGTTGAAATAATGGTGCTGTTGACAGTAATAAAGAAAGGGAAATCCAGAGAACAATAGAATAGCAGTGTTTACTGGTTTTATTTCTTATATTTAAATATCTTAAATTTTAGAAAGCAAAGGGACAATGAAACAGAAGTTTAAAAACTAGTGTAATAATAGTTTATGGCTCTATCAGTGTCTTGAAGGGTATCTTTATTAATGAGGGGCTCTGAGATTACAAAAATTCAGCAATACCTTATTTTGGTTCTGAATCTACCATAATATTTAGAGTTAATTCTTTCAGTAAAACTCAGTAAAATTTTTTGGTTCTGTCATGATTTATTAATACTATTTTTACCTTAACCTTAAAATATGAAAATATGAGTTATTATCAGGGACAGGTGTACTAGAGGTAGTACCCTGTTGCCTAGCTTCTTTCCTTTACTTCCCTGGTGCAGTTACTTTCTGTTGCCATTCTTCCATGCCTTTAAGTAAAATGATGTACACAGATACATGAGTGATCTCGGTCCAATCTGAATTTTATTTTCAACCACTTTATAATATAAAGTTATTCAGCTAATGTGTTGGTGTGTTCCTAGGTAATATTTTGATCCTTGTCTCTGAAGTGAATAGTCACAAATATTTTTTGTGTCTTAATGAATTTTGTTTGTACTTCATGATTTTACTTTTAGAGCAGTTTTAATAAAAAGAAACAAAGGAGTTGGACATGGTGGTACATACCTATAACTTCGGCATTCTGGGAGTCCCAGACATGACTTTGAGCCCAGCCTGAGCAACTTAACAACTTAGCAAGATCATGTGCCAAAATTAAAAAACAAAACAAAAACTGGGGCTACAACATGTGGAAACCGTAGGTTCAACCCCCAGTACCTAAATAAATAGTACAAAGGAAAAATTTTTTTGAAATTGAAAAAAAAATTCTTCCACAGGCTGTTTAAAATTCTTTCCAGATGCTCAGTTAAACTTGAATACACTGGAAAATGCATAAAACTTTGTACTCTTTAGCTGCGATATATGGTACAGCATCTTCATGTTAATTTGTGTAAAGACCAGTCTTTTATTTATTGTTTTGTTGAGACAGGGTCTCACTATGTAGTTGAGACTGACCTGGAACTCACTATATAGCTCAGGCTGGTCTCAAACTCACAGAGATCCTCCTGCCTCAGCCTCACAGGCATGCGCCACCACATGCCCTGGCTCCAGTCTTTATTTTTAAATTGAATAGTATATCATTAATTACTTTTAATTAAAATGGCTTTTTTGTGTCTGGTATTAGGGATTGAATCCGGGGCCTTTGTTACATCTTGGTTTGTTTGTTCTTGTTTTTGTTTTCTAAATTTTTAGGACCTCCCTAAATTGCCCAGGCTGAACTCAAACTTGGGATCCTCCTGACTCAGCTTCTCAGAATGTTGGGCTTACATACATGTGCCACCATATCCATTTTAAATTACCATTTAAAAGAATTAGTAAAACTTTATTTGTTTGCAAATAATTTGATGAATGTACAGTGGATTAACTGCACTGTAAAGATTTTTGTTCTTTATTTCTAGTAATATATTTTAGAATATTTCTTTTGATGTTTAAGCAAAATCATTTTCAACTTGAATTAACAAGACTATAATCATTTTTATTTT